CTACACATTAGATTTGAGTTTGAATTTCCATAGATGTATTTGCATATGCAGTACATTTCACATACATTGCCTTTTTCTCCCCACAAGTATTTTCAGTGTTGAATGAATATTATTTATTCAATTGCACCATTATTATTTTGGAATGAAATCTAAACTGTAATTATATATATCTCCAGTTACATGCTTATCTCTGGGTTCATGTCATCCAGTATTATGACAATTTAAAAAAACTGGGATTTTAAATTTAAATCTCATTGAAAAGCTAATTGTGGAGTTGCACACAAGGTCATGTTTAATGCCAAAGTATTTTGATGCATAATTTAATTTCACTTAAAACATACATATATATTTTCCTACCCATTACTTTAGAGAGTGTCTTCAGAATTCGTTATAGCCCTAACATCATTCCCCTGAAACCTTTAAATTTTCATGTTTTGAAGATTTTAAAATCCCCAAAATAACAAAACCTTGTCTCTGGCCCACTGAAAGATTAAGATTAGGAAAAAGTAGCATAGTTTCTCCATTTAGAATAGCCAAGATTCAGCTATAACCATTTTTGCAGAGAAAAAAAAAATAAAAGGTTACCTTCTCACAAGAACTAAAATTTGCTTTTTCATTTCAAAGACAAGAAAAGGAGTAGCTGTACCACAGAGTGCTTAGAAAGCGCTATCTTTTAAGATAAGAAAGAAATTCAAGGTGACATCATTTTTGGCCAAAGCTCAAAGGCTGTTGTGAAGGGATACAGCTCTTCCCAATTATTCCCCACGTAAAGATCAAAATGAAGGCAAAAGGCCAATTCTTAGAGATACCTCATCCCAAATGTGCTATGTGATTACCTACATACTCATTGCATCTGTGAGAAGTATTTTTTATCAGTAAAACCACAAATGCTCCTTAAGTAGAACTGAAGAATTCTTCCCCACTCTGCTTTCCCTAATAATGATGATGATGATGATGATGACCAAAGACCAAAGTGGTTTACACAAAGTAGTGTTGATTGTACTTACACAACACTGGACCAGTTAAAAACAGCATTGTGAGGCTGTGTTGGTTTTTTTGGGGGGGGTCACTGAGTGTATAGACCCTGTCACCCAGAGTACTAGTTTTGTTCCAAAGAAGCACAATGGAGTTTTAAAAGCCAGGACATTTTTTCCAGACCTCTGCCCGTACAAAGAAGTTATACCAATCGAATCCAAATTATTTTTAAACTGGTTCTGACTGCATAAATGCCTAAGCAAAAGCAATTTACATTAACATATTTTATTCTGCAGTTGAAGTGGGCTAGGAATGCACACCCACTCAGTTACCATGAGTCAGTCAATCAAGAGTAGCTCTTTAAGCTACAATAGCTTGATTACTTGCCACTGCTTGTCTCTACCTGAAAAGAGCTGAACTGATTTTGAACCAGCAAATTCAAGTAAGCTCACATTTCTGAATTTACCTCTGAAAACCAGTATCAAGCAGTTTTAAGTTTCCACAATGAATTTCCCACCAATGTAATTACATTGCCTTCATTTATCTTTTAAGCATATGATTAGATACCACAGCACAGCATCTAAGTGTCACGGCATGAGCACGAAGGAACCAAAAGCATACTTCAAACACACAGCTCTCTCAACTCCCATGTTAAAAAAAGAAGGCTCTATTTGGTGTAAAATGAGCTGGCTCCACAGGAGAGAAACCACAGTGATTCCTACACACTACCCAGTGTCACCAGATCTGGCTGACCTCTTCACCCCTGCAACCTTGCAGCAGTTTCACAGATGCAGAGCGGGGTGCTCATCGCCGCCTTTCACACGTGGTGGGAGAGCAGCGGCCACGGGGAGGCAAAGTGAAGCCCCTGTCCAGGACACTGAGAGGCCAGTCCTGTATCCTTCCCTGGGGCTCAGCTCCATCCAGCCCCGCTCTGTTGCACCCTTCAGTCAACTGTGTTTTGCCTTCAGGAACACACTTATGCTCCAAGGAAGAGAGATTACTCGCCTCTGTCTCAGGCCCATGGGGTTCCATTGCGTTTTGCTGAAGCATGTCTGCACTGCCTCAGACTCTCTCTCTCCAGAAACCTGTTTACACACCTGCTTCTCAATGCCTTCCCCCCACATTTCCTCCCAGATCACCCAAAGGAAAAGGGATGGCCTCTGAACACTCCATCTTATGACAAAACACCATCCGATGAGAAAGGCTTTATTAACAAAGACATATTTAGCACTGGAAGCACCGTTAGCATTATGTATTCTCTCTGGCCTTTCTGTTATTCCCAACAGAGTATGTGGACGACACAAGACCAGGGAGAGAGTGATGATCAGGTGTGGGACTTTAAAATTATCTTGGAAGAAATCAGGGAGCCACTCTAGGGAAAATTATATTATGCTTGGGCAAGAGCCTTTTGCAAAAGTAAAGCTGGTGTTGCAGGGGTGGAAGGCAGAAAACACTGGTGGGAAAATATCCATATGATGGAAGTAACTAGTTTGACAGAGCTGGATACGAAACTTCTCAAATGCAGAGCAAGTATCATACACAGCAGAACTGTGCAAACTTTCCAGTGTTCAACTCCAACAGTACTATGAAAATAACACCACAGCCTTGGCCTTTTCTGCTTAAATAACAAGCTGTAAGCAAGAGCCAAAGATGTCTATCATTTGGAGAGCAAAAAGTAGACTGAGACCACACTCTCACTTTACAGATAGCTACAAAGATTACATGAAGATAGGACTGTAAAGACATATCTTTAAGTCCCTGCCAACCTAATCAAGATGGTATTAACAGTGATCTCACACTCCATCTGCCTGGCTAGTAATTTATGAGAAACGTACTTCACTATTACAGGAAAAATATGTTGCAGTGCTTGTGGCCACAAACCTACCGCAGCAGCTCAAGAGCTCTTGGATCAGAGGCCATGAGACCAGTTCTTGACATTTACCAGGTACTGCCCATGAGATCTGATTCATTCATATAGTGATTTTGTTAGTTTGTTTGCCCTAGTGATAATCTCTTATTCAGACAGATAAAATAGCTGATGAAAAACTTGCAATTTAGAGTGTAATACCATGCTGTTTTGCTTTTCATTCTGTGAATTCTACATAGGTACTTCATTTAATTTTATGGGATTCTTTTCATGAGTGAAAAATCTCCCTATTCTTGCACTGATCAGCAATCATTTCTTATTAAATTACTCCTTTTCCTGACAGAAAGCAGAAAACCTCATCTTGCTTACTGAAACTCTATTTCTTCTAATATTGCATGCCCTCCTTTAGCTTAAATTGCCTAAGATTCAAACCTATGGGGCTTGCTAGTTGCAGAAGATTTTTTTGGTTGTGTGTCTTTTTTTTTGTGGGTGGGTTTGGGTTTGTTTTTTTTTTTCTGAAACTCTATTTCTTCTAATATTGCATGCCCTCCTTTAGCTTAAATTGCCTAAGGGGAAGAGAGAGGTAATGGTGGTGATGGTTCCATTTTGAAAAACAATATGAAATCTTCCAGTTTCCATCAAGGCAAAGTTCAGGGGCAGCATTCTAATATGCGAATTACTAAGATGACTTCTGCACATTAAAACAAACAAAGAAAAAAAACAACAACAAAAAAACCCCCATACCAGTACCAACACACTGGAATTAATTGCTAATTATGCATTTCTTCACTTAGCAGAACTATGGTTTGGATCATCCTTCTAGTTGCTGCAGCAAAGGAAGACTATATATGTAATAGTGACAAAAAACCCTACTGTAGCTCTTCAAACATTCTTTCTGCTGCACATTGGAGAAAAAGTATCTCAGAAACTACTAACTACTATAAATGAGTAGGATAGGATACTCAGAGCAACAACTAGGGAATAACAGCCTTTGATCTAGTCAATTCCTACTCATATGAACAACTTAAAGGCATCACTGCTTTTTATGCCAAAGAGCAACAAGGCAAAATGAGCCTCTAATATTATTAGAAGCCCTGCACGCTCAGTATCATTTGTAAGACTTCTGTCACAATCAGAATATGCAAAGTCTTCCTCTTCTAGTTGTGGGACAAGACAAGGGCTTGGAGCACAAGAATATTTTTCTTACCAAATAAAATACCCAAATTACTTCATATACAAAGGCTGAGTCAATCTCAAGAACATTTTTATGAAGAAAATGGGCAAATTCAGTCTCAGTAGCATTTGTTCCATCTTCAACAATGCAGATGAAGGGAACCCTTTACTCCTCTTTAAAACTAAACACTGCCGTTTATTGTACTGCAGTACACCAATACAATTTGGAAAGAATTTTTCTAGTGTTCATTTGAAAGTTTCTACTTATATATCCACAACTCATACTCAGGGAGATATCTTGCCACCTTAGTTTTGCTCCTCAAATTCTGTTCAGAAATACTCTTCTACCAATCTCACTTTGCCAGATAATCAAAATAACTACAGATTTGTCTTTTAGAAACATTCTTGGAAAACAAGAAATCAAAATGTCTTCACTTTATCAAACAGATACCCACTTTGTAGCTTTGCTAATACATGCAAATTGTCTGATTTCCTGAAATTACTGATTAACCAGGCTGAAAAGCTGATTACCTGATTATCCAAGAGAAAAATAATTTAGCATGATTTTGTGTCATTTGACAATCCAGGTAATTTTTTAATTAATTTGAGTTTTCAAGTGAATTTGGAGATACTACTAAAAAAGAGAAAAGAGGTCAATGACCTGAATAAAGGTAACCTTTCCAGAAAATTTCTTCTTACAACAATCATTTGTCAAGTGTTATTGTTAGTTACATATACTTCAAACACACAGACACAAAAATGAGAACTTAGACTTCAAAAAATATTCAAACAAAGAACCCATGGTAAGATCTTCAATGTTCTTGTAAAGATATCTTGTAGAACTGGACATAAGATTAGTGGTTCACTAGTCTGACACACATCAAACTTTTATTGTGATCAACAAATTCTGAACTACACATGAAGCAATATGTAGCAGATATTTTGTCAATATGCTGAGAGAATAATAAATACTGGAAATACGTACTTGCCACTGAAAAGTTGTTGAGTGGATATGGCAGATCCACATCCTGGGGCTTCTCCTTATAGCCTATGAAAGAGCCATCTGTCTTTAGCAGGAAATATCTTGGCCGCCAGTTTTTTATATATTCTCCTAAAGGAGAAAAAAATAATGTTCATTAGTACTGTAGAAAAAAACCTTAGAAATTAAAAAACATAACATATTATCAGTGTCTAACATTAACTATACCAAAACCTTGTCAGACATTTTCTTCACAGAGAAAACCTTAACTCACTTCAAAAAAAAAGAGAAAATGGAATTGCAATGGTAAGCCTGGACTACACAATGATGCCTCTGGAATAAAAAACTACAAGTACTGTATAGTAATGTTCTATAATTCTAAACTTTCTCACAGTATACTCTTCAAAATCCTACATCTCTATACCTATAAATAGTTTGAAATTTTCTGCAGGCAAAAATAGGCACTACAGTTTGACTTTTAATAACAAAATGAAACCTAAACTACTACAAGGTAGAACATTTATCTCACTGAGCCAAAGCAAAAGCCATTAATTGCCTCAAAACAGAAGCAAACAGAGGAAGGTATGGGTAATGGGAGAACCAACACAAAACATACTTAACAAATATATCTGAAAGCAAAAGGAATAAAAAAAGAAAAAGTAGAAGCCAATTACCTTTTAAGAGGTAAGTCCACCAATAAATCCACCACCTCCACCTTCCCCCTACCCCAGTCTGAGTAGAAGATTCTGCTAGCTAAGACTTATTCAGAACCAGAAACATACAGAACATGTCAGTAAAGAAACGATAGCTTAATTAATGCCACTTTTTTGCTATTTAAGTGTGGAAAGTCTCTTTAATAGCATTATACTTTACAATGCCACACCAAAATCTCAGCAACAGTTTCATTTTTAAAGTGCAATTACTCAGTGAGGTAGAGGTGAGTTTAGATCTGGCCAAACTTCCTCATCTTTGATTTCTATCAACTCTGCAAAGTAAATAACGTATGTACAAGAACTTACTAAGACTTCAAATAAGTCACTGTTTCATCATTATACATGTGAGCATTTTAAGAAAAAAAGCGTATGTAACAACAAAGAATTTCCAGCCGTGCTTAGGACTTCTCACCATTTACTGTTTGCAAAATGCTCAGAACTGATCAGTCCAGGGGCTGCACTGGTCCTGGGCAAAGCCCAGCCCTTCACTGACATTCCCCACCTGAGCATCCTGTTAACTGTAGCTACATAGCTTTTAGACAACTCAAAGGTCAAGAAGAAGTTTACATCCATCTGACACAGAGATTACTCCATTAAAGGCTAATCTAAAAATTCATTAATCACATCTTCACCTTTCCATCACAGCAATCAACTAATTGCCACTGAAGTTCAACAAGGGAATTGTTAATACGGCCTTGCTGAACTTGATCACAACTTGTAAGGATTCTGATGATGCCCGTGGCTTAAGAATCTAACCGCAGCCATTAACATTTCCTATTTTCAACATGTATTTAAGCAGAGAAGCAGGGTACAGAGTAGGAGATGGAGAAGAGGAAAAAGTGAGAAAAACTAATACCAGGCTATTTGTATTGACTTATGTTTCCTGGCCCTTCATAGCAAAACTCTTCCTGTTTAGTCCTGCTTCTAGATAGCAGGGTACCTGCTTGATTTTGTTATCTAGAAGTTTTCATGTACGTAGAAAGAAAACTGAAAAAGTAAAGTTGTTACTTAATTTCACCACAAAATTAACAGAGCAGATATAGCACTAGTTACATTTGCACTGACTCAGAGCTTTCCACCTCAGATTTCCGGTGCTAGTTCAGCTGGGAACATCCCTACTGACACTGCCAGTCTGAACTGACTTCTCAATGGAAAATCCCAAATAACATAAAAGCAAACAATAACACACAAACACCCCTCCCAACAACAAGTATAAGATATTTGTAAACTGGAGAAGGAATACAAGTGCAGTATGGCAAAACAAATGTGTAACTTAAATAGCAACAACAGTGAAAAACTATATTATCATTACATGAAAAGGTAAAGACATTTCATGAATTAAGTTTGCTGAATACTTGAAAACAAAATAATTATAGGCCTAAATAAAGCTATGACTCATATTTTAAGAATGTTTAAAATATGCCTTGGGACAAATTTGCTGAAATCTGCATGGACTCAAATGCTGAAGGCAAAATGAAACCTTACATATCAGATCATCCAGTACAAATTGTAAAAATCTTAACATCCTAGTTACTTTCTTGAAGTTAAAAAGACCATAAAAAGAATCTTTGGTACAATTCTAATAGATTATATCTTATTTAGTTGTAACAGTAAGTGATTGTTACAGGAGAAAGTGCCTGTTACTAGGTTTAAAATGTGTCAAGATCTTTTAGTCTTATCTAGAAGGTGCGGTAAATGGAAGGCAGGCACCTAAAACAACTGCAGAGTTCAAGAACAGCATGGAGAGAATACAAACATGCCTAAAAGGGGTCAGCCATCCAGTGGTTCGGCTTTCAAAGAGTCTTCCTTTCCGTAAGGAATAAACTGGACAAGGAGATATAAGAATCAGAGCTGATAGGGTAAGTATACTCATCAGTCACTTCAGGAAAGAACAGAAGCCTTCGCTTACTTACATACACACTTTCCAGAACTAAACCTGCAGTAAAGGAGACCATTCTAGCAGGTGCCCTTAGAGACAGGGTGCACACTTCACTTACCACTTACTCCCTCTTCTCCTCTTAGGACAACACTTTAGATTGCATTTGGCTTCTACCAGGTACTCAGAGTCTCTTAATCAGAAAACGAAACAGATTTTTTATCATCTACTGAGTTATGCAGCTGATGTTCTGCCTGGAGAAAAGCCATTAAAAGAGCATGACTAGCACTTCCAAGCTCCTCTGAAGAGAGGAGAACTTTGGGCAAAAGCTAACAAGACGAAGATACAAATACTGAATAATGTATGAGTACCAGTTTATCCATGAGTACAGTTGTATCTCTGTCTTCAACCTGCAAACTATGGTCAGACACAGGACATGTAATTTAAAAGCAATTGCAAAACACTATGGCTTCATAAGGATCCATGTATTTCTTTCATAGACATATTTCTTTGAAGAATGTTCCTCCTAAACGGTTCCCCAACACAAACCATGGTCAGACTACTTTTTCAAGACGGCTATACAAACACACACATATAAAGACCCCTAGTTTTGTCCTGAAATGACCAATATTCTAAATCCTCTTCAAGGCCTGTACACGAATATTTATCATCTGTCCTTTATTTATTTTATAATTTAATTAACAAATGGGTGATCACTTTTGAAGACTAAAGTAAACAGTGGTATCAGTGAACAGTTCACTTAGCTGCTCAAGTGGTTTAATGGCTCTCAAGATGCACTCTAGGTGCTCTCTTGTAACTGCATTCCTTCTACATAATCTGCTTAAAGATAGAAAAACATTTTAGTTCATACTTCTTAATAGACATATGCTTACTGAACTGCTTTGAAAGATAAATCCTCCATACAGAAAATACTAAAACACATCAGAGTATTTGAAAAGATAAAACACTTCCACGTCTTCTAACTTACCAGCCCCACATAAAAAAAATATTTAAAAAAAAAAAAAAGTCTATTTTACAGTATGAGCAACATTACTTTAAAGATATTTGGAGTTTATGGTTATCAAATACCTCAACACAAGCAAACAACAGGAAACACACATCTGAAATTCATTAATTCAAGTGAAAAGAATTTCCACAAGAAAGGAGAAGTCCAGGCAGGCTAACCAAACCACAATATATCCTGACAATTTAATGAAATGGAGCTGCAGCACTTAAAAAAGCAGTGGATCTGCCATAGAGAGTTAATCAGGTTTGTACCCTGCTTCCTGCTG